TGTGTTTACTTAATGCCGCAGCCAAAATGAATTTCCTGTAGGTAGCATATACTTATGTGGTTTTTAAGTCTATCCAGCTACCCTGTATTTTTGGTTAAAGAATTTAGTCATTACATTTAAAGTAATTATTAATAGGTAATGGCTCACTGCCATTTTGTTCACAAATTTCTGGTAGTTTTACTATTCCTCTGTTCCTTCTCTTGCACTCGTTGATACATTTCTATACTGATATGACTAGATTCCCGTTTATCTTTCTGTAAATATTATACATTTTTATTTTCTGGTTGAGGTAAAGTTTATGTAAAACACCTTTTGTTAATAATTGTCTATTTTTGAGGCTTGAGTTATGGTACAGTGGGTGCAGCACTTGCTTTGGCACATAGCCCACCCATGTTACATCCCTGACATCCCATATGGTCCTCTGAGCACTGCCAAGGAATGATTCCTGAGTGCAGAGCCAGGAGTAACCTCTGAGAATCGCCAGGTGTGGTCCAAAACACAGAAACAAAACCTGTCTATTTAAAATTGACAATTTAAATTTTAATGCAGTTTAATCCTTTACATTTTAACTTCTCCCGTGTATTTTTTATTTGTATGTTCACAGGCTGGAGCGATAGCACAGCAGGTACGGTGTTTGCCTTGCACATGGTTTAATTCTTCTACCCCTCTCAGAGAGCCCAGCAAGCTACCAAGAGTTTCTCGCCCACATGGTAAAGCCTGGCAAGCTCCTCGTGATGTATTTGATATGCCAAACACAGTTAACAACAAGTCTCATAATGGAGACGTTACTGGGCCTGCTCGAGCAAATCGATGAACAATGAGGGGACAGTGCTATAGTGCATGTTCATTAACAAATTATTGTAATCAGTGATTTTTATGACTTCCGTCTTTTAACTTTTATATTTATATGTAATTTTCCTATCATTACTTTATTCTGAATTTCATTTGGCCTTTACTGATAAGATCCATTCTTTTTTGGGGGGGTTTGTCTTGGGGCCATACCCAGTGGTACTCAGGAGACCTTATGGGGTTCCATAGAATTGAACTCTTGATGGCCACCATTTGTGAGGCAAATACCCTACTTGATGCATACTCTCCAGTCCCAAGATTTATTCTTTTATGTGATTTATGTTGCTAACAAGCACCCTTTTGTTTTGAACACTGGTGAAATATATGTGTGACTGAGTATCAACTAGGTTTGAGTAGAGTCAGAGATCGTTTGAAGGAAATCACACCTGGATTGGAAAAGGAAAGTGGATTTGAATACCATACTAAAGGGTGTGGAGTGCATTCCGTATGTCACTAGGGGACATACAAATGCTTAAAGAGAAGAATGGTACTGTAGGATCTAAATATTAGATGATCTGCAAGCATTTAAAGGATGGCTTGTAAAGATCTCCATTAAAAGTGCAGGCGTACTGTTTGTTCTCCTGATGACACAAGGGAGAAAAGCAGCTGAAAAATTGTGCTTTTTACGAGATGTGCTAATGGTGTCACAGATGTATTCTTATTCTCACCTATATGTATACAATGTGCAATTTTTGTATACCCGTGATACTTCAATGAAGGTAAATATCGACAGCAGGTTAAGGAAAAAACTTGGTGATATTCTGGAGATTGATCATGATTTCAGATCAGGCTGTATTTTTCTCCTCAGCTTCATCCAGCAGATACTTAGGAGAGGTCTGTGTTGCAGTCTGGTATAAAATATTTATCTTGAATCCATGAGTTAATGAGCAGGGAAATCCAAATTGCAGAACATTGAACACTTTACAAATAGCCTGACCTTTTCCGAAATGTTAATATTATGAAAAATGTAAAAAGGATGTTGGAGTGCTGTAGAATAAGGGAGACTAAAGTGACATGATCACTATGTGATCAAAGTGTGATTCTGAATTTGGGATATGTGAATAGATATATTATTATTTTATGTAATTATACGTTAATTTCCTGAGCGATACGATTTAATCCTGGTTATGCAATATAAGAGTGTAGCTTTCACCTTGACAGGTGGGTGTTACTGTTATATGCATAGTGACACTTAGCTCTAATTGTTAAGTGAGTCAGCCAAACTATGTACACACGAAAATATTGAATTAAAATTTGCCATGCATTTGAAATTATTTTAAATAAGCTAGGGAATCATTAGGAAGTTGTAGATTCCAATGTGAACAGTCCGTGAAAATCAAAGGAAGATAAAATTTGCTAATTTATCTGTTTCAAGGTAAGCCTCATTAGGACACCGACCCATTAAGTAACATATAAACACATCTATGGTACACACATTTTATCAGTGTGCGAAGCATTCAAAATAATTGGGTCAGTTAGTATGATTTCATCCACATTTAACTTTAAAATGACCACCTCTCTCATTGACTTTGTATGCAACTCTGTATCCAGAATATGACTTGGCAAATTCCAGCCCTATCAAATTTCAAACCTTCAAGGCACAAGATATAGTCAGTCAGTCCTCCCGTTGTTCATCGATTTTCTCGAGCGGGCCCAGTAACGTCTCCAGTGTGAGACTTTATTGTTACTGTGTTTGGCATATCGAATACATCACAGGTAGCTTGCCAGGCTCTGCTGTGAAGGCACATATCGATATGCATTGAATTTATTTAAACACCTGTGTGCAACCTTTAGGAAGAGTTTTTTTTTTTCTGAAATGAAACTGGTTTATACAGGTAGGAGAAAAAAGCACCTTTGAATATAACCTTTCCTCTTAGAGAAAAAAAACTCAAGAGTGTACCCATTTTACATCAGCAAGTTATCCTAACTCAGTCACTGGAATGTAGCACTTCATTTTATGCTCAGTTCTTACAATCTCCTTAGCTCAATAAATAATCAGAACAACAACCTGATGTGTATTTTAATTTGGGTGCTTTCATGGGCACTGCTACCTCTTTGCCAGTGTTGACACGCCTAAATAATTGATGCTTTCAAGCACCCAAGGCTTCTAATCTCACCACTGAAATAGGCAACTCGATTTCACACACTTTGCTTACTTCCAAAACAGAGAAATTCTGCAGTGGGAAATAATAACAACGGTACTAAAAGTCAGTTGTTGCTGGAATTTATAGTCTTTTCAAAGACATAAAAAATTTAATATGCTAAGCTATCAATGTACAATTCCAACAGCCCATTGCACATATTCAGGGCTCATGTGCATAATGAGAATCTGATACAAGAGAACACCCTAAATTTCTGAGGTGTGGGACGACCCCCTCAAACCTTTCCTCTTGAACAAAAGCATTAAAGCCTGGCTTTCTTATAAGACTTGAAGTCTCTGGAGGATACGCCTCTGCCCACTTGAAGTTCTTTCACTTCATTAGATTTACTCTGACAATCCATTCTGGTCAATCACTGTCTGGACCTCACCACCATGTGAATAAGACCAACAGTCCTGCTCTTACAAATTCCACAAATCACACCCCTCAAGGATCACTACACACAATTTCCAGCCGTTAACTGGATGTTACATCTTAGATGTTGGCATCTATTTAAACATACTTCCAGCATGTCCAACTTCTGTATTTTTCTTGACTATGACCGCCTAATTACCCATGAGCAAACATACACCCATGAGGCTAGAGAAATAACTCAAGTGGTAGAGTACACGCCTACAATGTGTGAGGCCCAGAGTTCAATTTCCATTACTGCATGCCCCCACCAGCAACACTCTTGACTCTTGTCTCACTGTTCTGGTTAGGCACACTGCCTTACCATGAACCTAAAGTATTAAGAGTTCCTCCAGGCAGTATGGCACCAGAAAAGAGTTTTAATTGTGAGGAATCAAGGAGTCACGGATCTCTTCTGTAAAGATCAAGAAGGTCAAGCATAATCAATTTAGGACCCAGGGGAAAGAAAACAAAGGGCAGACATCCTGTGTGTTAGGAGAAGAAATATGAAGCAATACCAAGGGACACAGAAGATAAAACCAATTAGCAGATGGCTGGTAACTCCTATCATGGACGTTTTAACAATGGATTGGTTAATACTGTCAAGGGCTGTGCTTGCTTTTACCTTCTATTATCCTTTAAAACTCATGAGCTCTAGTTTTCTTAAATCCTGGAGAACAATGCTGAAGGATTATACAAATCATACCAACTATTTCCTCAACAAATTCATCTTTTTCCTTTTTAAATGATTGGCTATTCCTTTATTTCACTGAAAAGACAAAAATCATCCAACTTTCCCAGATTTCTCAGAAGTGGCCAATGAGCCTCTTTTCAGCATTTGATCTTTTGCCCACGTTTTTTTAAAACTTAACCGTCTTCCTCACTCCTTCAATACGCCATGACCCAAACGGAGGTCTTCCCCAACACACAGCATTCATTCACCTATAATTCTCATCTCAGATCCCTCAGCTATCAATTTTCCAGTCAATACCTGAGTCCTCTATTTTCCAATTACAGTCATCTCTTCCTGGCACATCATTCTTATCTTTCAAGCCAAGACCTGCAGAACTCCCAAATGTTGCATTTTATGTAGCCTCCGAACTGCCTTCTCTACCTGTAAAAGTTTATAGCTACGAGAATGCATCTCAGAATTCTTTTTAGCTATTTCTCACCCTGTGGATATATGATTTTCAGTGGCTTCTTGTGGCCAAATGAGTCAAACACTTCTGGTTGGATTCTACTTTCTTCTAATTAGATGCTTGGCTCTTTCCTGTCCTTACCCAGCACTCATCACTACATCTTCTCTTAGGCTATTCCTTCATTAAATTATGCTTGGTTATTATGCCATCAACTGGAACCCTTGCAGAAAGCAATGCCAAAACACCGGCTCTGGTTTCCAAAATGAGTGAAAAAATATTAATCAGGCTGGTTCTGAATGGCTGGTGCTTTGAGGTCTAAGGCTACATGACATCTTTTGGCATCTTTCTATGATGCCTTCTCCAGCACTGGTCATGTAACTGCTGATTTGAATTGCTGAGCAAACATTTCACCTTTTCCAAACAGTGTGAGATAATACAATCTGGGAGTAGTTAAGAAACTTACCCATGGATTCTGAAGTTTGACTGCCAACCACCCGAAGCAGCATAGGCTGGCTGCTGTCTGACCTCTGAAGAGAAGTAGAAGGAGAGGACACGGTTGTACCATTCACCTTCGCCTCAGCCTGGGGCTAAGGCAACCAAGAGAAAACAGAATTATTTTTCCTAATAAACCTTCAAACAAACAGACACCTAAAAAATGTTACAAACACTCAGGACTCTGAAATGATGACTTCAAAACCTCTCAAACATTATTTAATTGGGAAAGTTTCACTGCGGAGGAGACTTATCATGACACTCATATCTCATTATGTCCCCTCATAAATTAGAAAAAAATGACAGCTACAAGGGAACAAAATATTTGAAAGATTAAGAACACCCTGTGAGAATGGCAAAGATAGAAAAGACATGTCTCAAGATAAAATATTGCCAGAAAACCAGTCCTGTGGGCAGATAAAAGCCTATGACAGTATCTTGGTAGGTTTTATAGGAGGCTTAAAAGTTAGGTTTTAGGGGTTAAAAGTAGAAACAGCCCAAAGGACTATCAGGAGATAAGGCTAATAGCTAAAAAGAGTTTTACTTCACGAGGTAAAAACTTATACTTTTAAAAGAACTAATAGAAATCTTTAGGCTGTTTTTTGAGGCCATATCCACCAGTGCTCAGGGAACACTCCTGGTGGGCTTGGAGGTAGTGGGGGTGGGGGGCAGATATGGTGCTGGGGATTGAACTGCTAGTAGACTGCCTGCAAGGCAAGTGCCTCACCTGCTGTACCTCTAGGCCTCGGCACAATGTTTCCCAGGTGATTTTCAAATTGGTCAGAGGGAACACATTTTCATAGGCATTGATTTTGAACATTAAAATGGCACGAGTTTGCCTTCTCATATCCCTTGATACCTACTGCTTGGTTAGGCACCTACTCAGTACTCAACAAATTGATATTTGCTGTACAAAAGGACTCTATGTTTATGGGTATTTTTTATTGCAATGGAAAGTGACTTTTTATAAATATCCCATGTCAGAGAGATGTGTGCCTCACTTGCTCCAGCAGCTGCCTGAGTCTATTCAACTGTGACTCCAGCTGTTTGTTGTGATCTTCCAGGATTTGCATCCTGGCTTCCAGGCGGCCTTTGTGTTGACGCAGTAGCTTGGCCTCAGCAATGAGCTCAGCATCCCGGGGACTCTGGGGAGAGGTGGGCATCATTTCAGGAGGGGATGGCAGTGGGGACAGGCCTTTATGTTCATGCTGCTGCTTTAGACGATCATATTCTGCTTGCAGATTCCTGTTTGCATCAAAAAAGTAGAAAGAAAATAAAAAGAAAGTTGACTATCATCACCAGATTTTAAATAGCTCAGCAGAGAGACACATCTGACCACCACCAAACACAAGAGCAAGCAAAAGAGAGGCACTTAATGAATGGTTTTTATGACGATGATCTTAACAATGCTTAAAAAAAAAACAAAATAAAATTGGAAACATCTGCCCGATGTGTGAGGGGAGATGCTTTCAACTGTTTACACTAAGAGCCTTATGAGGGCTATGTTCAGATAAGTGAGCAGCAAAGGATTTAATCCTTTGCAAATATTTCTCTATAATGTCACAAGCTTGTAAGTTATAGCTCTATCAACAGTTCAGTTTGCTTTTAAAACTCATCAAACATTTTCAACAGCAAAGTATAGGAACATGGCAAATGAACAGTCATGTTCCCACCACCATGCCGTAGTAAATTTAACATTCGCCAGATTTCTTCAAAAACTTTTTGAAGAAATAATCTACTACTGTTAAAATGGAAGCTCCCTTACTTACTCTCCTCACATCCAAGGACATAAAGCCATACTTAATATTCCGTGTCCATCACTAGCATGTATGTATCCACAAATAGTAGAATTGGACTTAATAAAAATGCTGCTATTTGGAGACTTTTTGTCAACAAAAATGGCTATTTAGACGATTCACCCTAACAGCATTATTTTGCATATTCTAGAACTCTATATTAGAATGCACATACCATTATAAGAGTTGTATTCTGCCTTCAACACCATCTGGAGATTTAGCCATGCTGATATATAACATTTTGTGATTTTAACTGCTGTATGGTTTTATTATGTTCTTGAATATGCCAACAACTTTCTCCTATCAGTGTATATTTAAGTTGCTTCCAACTTTTCACTATCTCAAACACTGATGCAGTTAACATGCTTCTGTCTCTTTGGATACCCATTTATCTTGATGTGGAATTGTTGAGCTTGGGCAGCATCTTCCACAAGGCTACTCATTACAAAATTGCCCTCCTACATGGTTAAATGGTAATTGATTCCTTGACCAGTTGTGAATCGTTTTTATTTGGCCATATTTTCATCAGACACTTGGTGTTATCAGATTTGTCTAATAATAATAATAATAATAACAATAATAAGTTTTGGCTAATCTTATAGGAGTGTTTTAACTTCTGCACATCATGATTATTGATACGGATAAATCCATGTGTAATACTTGGTTCTTCATGTTACCTTAACCCATTTCCTGACTGGATCATCTTTTGTTGTTTTATTTTAGGGCCATACCTAGTGGTACTCAGAGAACCATATGCAATGCCAGAGATAGAATGAGAGTCATCTTCATGTAAGGTAAAGTACCTTAGCCCTTGTATTATCTCTCCAGCCCAGGACTGCAATTTAAAGATTTAAGTTTCACACATGATCTGCATGTCTATTATTTTCTAGGTCTGTGCACAACCAATAATATCCTACTCATATTTTAATTTATCTTTAACTTGGTTTATGGCATCCTTGTGTGCAAAAACATTGAATTTAAATATAGTCATTGTTGTTTCCTGAGTTTTATGTTTTAAGAAACTCATCCTCATATTCACATTTTAAACTTTAAGTTTTTCAGAGTTAGAATTTTATTTTACCCAGAGTCTTTTGTGCTTGTTGTGATCATATGATCACACTTTACTGGCAATCTCTGATGGACATATATTAAACCAGTCTCTTTCAGTGTATAGTCCATCATTTCTAAGGATACCTCTGTAATATACTGTTTCCATAAACACACATGTGTACTGAGCACTGTCTCATTCCATTAGTTTCTTTTTGTATGTCTCCATGAAGATTCCACACTGTGGCATTAATAACTTGGTTCTGGTAGGTCCTCTTCCTGGCCATCCTAAAAAATGCCTAAGCTCTTCTAACCCCTCATTATTTTACTGTCAAATTTTCATGTTTCATGAAAATTCCTGTTAAACCAAGGTTTGAATGATACTGAACTTCCAGGTGAAACTGGGAAGAACTGATTTAATTCCTATACTCTTTCACATTCAGACAAGCACTGAAACAGTCTAGCCTTGTTTTATTTCCATTAATTATGTTTTTCTCACTAATTATGTTCTTAATATACACATTTAGGAATAAAAATTCCTTCGTGGTATCACTTTAACTGTATACTAAGTTCTGGTACATATCTTTTGATTTAATTCAATTGACTGGAATTCTTATTTAATTCATAGTCATCCGGGAGTGCAGTTCTTATATTTCCAAGGATTTATCCACTTTATTTAACATCTATTTTAATTACATTTTATTCAGAGGACACTTGTATTGTTCTGATCCCTCAAAATTTATTAACATAAATTTTGTGACCTAGGTCACATCACTGTAAATGAGTGTTCATTAAATACTTGGAAAATGTGTCTCTTCTCATTTAAATGGAAAAATTGTAAATACAGAGTAAAGCTACAGACAACATGTTCAGCTTTTGCTATATTTTGCTAGAAGGATTTTAAAACATAATACTCATACTTTTTCACTTTCTCCTTTAAATTGGGATGTTTCTTATGTTTAGTTTAACTTTTTATTCAAATGTTAATTGCCATGGATTGTTTTCTTTCTTTTTTGTTTCAAGGTCACTCCCAGTGGTGCTCAGGGATTGTTCCCCACAGTGCTTGGAGTGACTGTATGGGGTGCCAAGGATCAAACCCAGGTCAGCCACATCCAAGGCTAGTGCCATGCCTGCTGTTACTATCTCTCTGGCCCTGCCATGGACTTATTTCTTTCTATGGCTAATCAGTCTTTTTTGGGGGGACGATTCTTGGCTGTGCTTACGTGACCATATGTAGTATCAGGGATTGAAACAGGTCAGCCATGTGCAAGGCAAGTGATTGACCAATTGTACTATCTCTCTGGTCCCTATTCCAGCTTCTTTTGACATCAGCTATAAACAGTATTAGCAAATGCAATGGCCCAAAAATACTTGAAATTTTGCTGAGACTATAGCTCCAATTGAGATACTTCTGTTCTTTGCTATCCTTCTTCTAGTTAAATGCCAAAATAAGATGACAGTCTCTGTTGTTCACAGGTAAGAGAACTTCTTATCCACAAATATTGGAGACCTAGATCTATGAGCAATGACATGAGATGCAAGAGATGACCAGGCAAGAAAAGTGCTCCCATTGTCCAGTTGAAGAAAGTAAGATAATCCCATGACCAGGATTTCAATTAAGAAATATTTTCTGTTGTTCCATACCTGGAATGAATGCTCCACAGTGGATGACAGGTCTTCCAAAATTCTGGATCTCTGCTTCGAAGCAGAAATAAAATACAATCTACTCTTCTTTAAATGCTAGCCTGTACCTAATATTACAAGGTTTCTAGGAATTTGCTTAACGTCATGCAGGAAATCAATGTCTGTTCTTTTTCATCTATAGGAATATAATCTATGTGTATGAATTAAAATTCTGTTTGCTATATGTCTTCAAGAATGGTTGTGTTTGCACTCTGTTTCAATACAATCTATGATGACAAAGCAATCATAAGTGATATCTTAAAATAATGTGTACCCTCATGCAGGGACATTGGTCCTCTGAGTGTAAGCCAACTGTATACATAGTTGTCTATATGAATTAAAATCCGATTTATAACCACGAAAGTGATATCTAAATGTTTCTGTGAACTTGAAGTTATATCCAATATTCAAAAGGTTTCATTCAATAGGAAAATCTTCTGCTTTTTCCCTTACAATTATTTACTGGGGAAAAAAAATCCATCTTCATTGAAACTGACAACAGCTTTTTACTCTCGAACCCTAGTCAACAGTTTTTCTTTCTTCCAATTGGGTAATATAGGATGTTCTTTTTGAGGACATTGTTTTAAGACATGTATTTTTAGAGAGCACAATAAGCAAACACAATCTACCCTCCTACTTTTCACAAATATACTGACAGGAGACTGTTTTCTAGAGAGGTTTCTGTTGGTATCTTGATGTTCTGGGTCTAGTTGTCCAGCATGTGTCTTTGTTTTGAAAACATGTTGAATATATACATTACATTTGTTATGATATTGTCCAGTGAGAAACAGAAAATGATCCTTTGAATCAGCCAGAGTTTCCCAAAGCTGAGCTGTAAACAATATAATTACTCTTATGAAGGCCTTCCAGCTGTTTTAAAGTTTTCTTGGGAGATAATTTCCTTTAAGAATCACAACCTTCAGTTCTGGAATATTCTAAGCTAGTATTATTTTTCTGTCATTTCCTCTACTCTCTCTCACCAGGTATATGTTAGCCTCATGGCCAATCCTCCATAGTTTGTATTATCTTCTCTCCTAGGGTCCAGTCTAGCATTTTTTCTGTCTATTGAGCTACTTTACTCACGAGTTTTCCTTTCCAAAGATGTTATATTTTTTATATCCATCTGTTCTTTGCCTATTTTTCTTGGGGTGTTAAAGGAAAGAAAAATAATGGTATTTACAATCTTTGTCTTATCATTTTACTTTTATCTAAGTATAAATCATTTTTCATGTCAACTGAGAAGGGCGATGTTTATTTGTTGGCGTTTGAAAGGAATATGGGTATGGTGTTTTGTTCTTAGTCTCCTTCTGAATTTTCTTGATCAAGTGGTTGTTCCTATATACTATTCAGGGACCTTAAGTCTGGAGTTAGATTGTGGCAGTCTGTAGCTCATAAATGATCATAATTATCAAGAATTTCATCACCAGTCAGCAAACAGATTGGTTCTGGTTTCAAGACTGATGTTCTTCTGCACGAGTCTCTGTGCATTAGGTCAATGGCTGAGGAAAACTGTCCAAGTTGTTCTTCATTTTCCTTTCTAATATAAACATGGAAGCACATGTCTCTCTTCACATGTGTTTTTATGAGGCCCTCACCTTGTGAAGGACTTTAAATTCCTTTTATGACAGCAGAAGTTGAAATCCCACAAGCTGCTCGCTGTTATCTGTTTTTTCATTTCTCATCACAGAAACATTCATCTGTCAGAATATTGAGCTATGT